ACTCATCTTGCCCTCCTGGACACCGTTCAGAACAGAGCCCAGCGGCTAGTGGAACGGAAGACACCCGTAAATGAGCCGCCACCACATTTTCAGTCCCTTCAACATCGGAGAGATGTAGCTGGCCTTTGCGTCTTCTACAAGATACATAAACAAAATAGTTCGCCGCTGACATCGCTACGACTTCCACCAGCAGACGCACCCACGTACGGGACAAGAAATGCCAGCTATCGAGTCCAAGAAGTCCAGGTTCCCTTCGCGAGAACTGAGCTCTATCTTCGCTCCTTCCTGCCTAGATTTTCTAGAATGTGGAACATTTTAGCTCAGCAAACTAACCTGCTTTATCTCGACACATTACAGCTGTTCAAGTCGGCAGTGAATGCTTGGAGATTACAATATGAACCAGGCTAAGTAATTTCCACCTGTAATTTTTTTAGTTAGACCAATTTCTCTTTTATCAGGATTAAGTTTTAAATATCTGTTTTAAGCTATAGATAATTTGACCTTTAATGGAAAATTTTAGCACATGATAAACTGTACTATACTATACAGACCATGTACCTTTGGAATAAAGTTTATAAAAAAAAAAAAAAAAAAAAAAAAAGAATGGAAAGAGAGAGAGAGAGATAGAGAGAGAGAAAATGGAGAGAGAGAGAGAGAGTGGAGAGAGAGAGAGAGAGAGAGAGAGAGAGAGAGAGAGAGAGAGAGAGAGAGAGAGAGAAAGAGAAAGAGAAAGAGAAAGAGAGAGAGAGAGCGAGAGAGAGAGAGAGAGTGAGCGAGAGAGAGAGAGAGAGAGAGAGAGAGAGAGAGAGAGAGAGAGAGAGAGAGAGAGAGAGAGAGAGAGAGAGAATGGAAAGAGAGAGAGAGAGATAGAGAGAGAGAGAATGGAAAGAGAGAGAGAGAGATAGAGAGAGAGAAAATGGAGAGAGAGAGAGAGAGTGGAGAGAGAGAGAGAGAGAGAGAGAGAGAGAGAGAGAATCAGACAGAAAGAGATTAACAGGAAGCGAGAAAGATTGAATACGAGAGCGTGATTGATTTCAATACATCTGCAATCCACATGCGTATCCGTAATGAGTGAAAGCTGAACCCCGCTCCAGTGTCTGACGGCGCACGTAATCCTCAGGAGCAGGACGCCGACTTCGCCACGAGCACGCTGGGTTGGCTGCCTCTCGTCGGCCTCGTCACTTTCATCGCGGCTTTTGCCCTAGCGTTCGGCCCCATCCCGTGGCTCATGATGGGTGAGCTCTATCGGGGTTTCATTTCGCGTGGACATTCATCTCTTTATATTCCATGTGCAAATTCTATTTCCTTTTTGCATCACTTCTGTTATATACTTTATCAAAAATAATTCTTTAGATTAATATTTTCAACTAATTTTTCAATCGCAAAACAAAATACTAATTTGATATTTTCTTTCCTCTTTTAGGTGAATTATTTCCCCGCGACGCGCGTGAGATTGCAGGGAGCTTGGCCAGTGCGTTCAACTGGTCCCTTTCTTTCTTAGTCACACTCACATTCCTACCGCTTCAGGTGAGCGAGAGAGGAGAGAGAAAGAGAGAGAGAGAGAGAGAGAGAGAGAGAGAGAGAGAGAGAGAGAGAGAGAGAGAGAGAGAGAGAGAGAGAGAGAGAGAGAGAGAGAGAGAGAGACAGTATGTCGTGGTTAGAGTTCCGACACGTTTCTCTGTATTTCCGATATTTTATTCGCGCGTTGTTCCGACAACAGCAGGTATACATTCCAGGTTTTGGATCTTTAAAAATCTGTCTAAAAGAAACAATTAACTTATTACAGGTAGTTTAAAGTTGTAAGATGCAGATTTTTAAAAGAACCATGAGACTACTCTAACTCTGCAGTTCTTGAGTAATGCAAGTCCAAAAGTAATCTAAAATACCCATGCCTGACGTAATCAAACCTTATCTAAATAAACAAACCTAATCAAACTAATTTACCCCAAGTTAAACCTAATCTACTGTAAACCTAATCATCACAGTTCTTCAACACCCACGCTTGCAAATGTCGGTCGCCGGGACTCTAACCACGACGTTAAGTGTAATTTTCTACACCATAATCAATTTTCTTTTAGTGATTGAGTCAACAAGTATAAATCTTTGTGGTACGAATTAAGTCCATACGCGAACTTGTATGTTTTTATTGACGATTGATTAGATTATAAAAAAAAATGATGTAATGTTTCTGTTTACACTCTTTACAGGGAACCATTGGATCTGCAGCCGTATACTGGATATTTGCTGGAGTGTGCATATTGTCTTTCATCTTCTGTGTGTCTATGGTCCCGGAGACAAAGGGGCGCACGTTGGAAGAGATTACACAAATGTTCTCCGATTCTGGCAAAGGCAGGACACAAAACGCGGCTTGAGAGAGAGAGAGAGAGAGAGAGAGAGAGAGAGAGAGAGAGAGAGAGAGAGAGAGAGAGAGAGAGAGAGAGAGAGAGAGAAAGAGAGACAGAGAGAGAGAGAGAGAGAGAGAGAGAGAGAGAGAGAGAGAGAGAGAGAGAGAGAGAGAGAGAGAGAACATCAAATTGATTAGTGTTTGTACTCAGGGCAACAAGAATACGCAAGTTGCCTGCACTGGACTCCAGTTCTGGACAAAAATGAGAATATTTCGTAACATCGTACACCTAATTACACGCTATATATTGTGAATTATAAAACAATAAAATTTGTAAAAAAAAAGTCTTGTTCACCTTTCTCATATGATTATTAACAGTATCATTATGATTATGAAACTATTATTATTATTATTATCATTATTGTTGTTGTTGTTGTTTAGATGTACGGCTTCGTATCCTGGTTGTTTTGGATATGAAGCTCAAGAAATCATTTCACCCCCCCTCCAAAAAAAAAGTCTGATAGGGCCGTCTTAACATTACAGCCCCCAGTCTAAGTAGTGCATTTGAGGCCCTACCTACAGAACCAACAGCAATTCACAACAGAGATTAGGATGGGGATCCTACGCTTGTGGAGCATTTGGCAGTTACTCGGCCTAAATTCAGAGATATTAAAAATAAATAAAATAAATAAATAAATGAATAAATAAGTAATGAGATAAAATCGGATGCTCAAACCCTACGGCCATCCCCACCATCACTGAAAGTGTGCGGACTACATCGCCAACTTTCGAGGAAAAAAGTCTGCGGGCGCCTAATCCAACTTTCAAAGCACTGCCCACGCCTGTGCAGTTAGCCAGGGTGGTAAATAAAGGACTAAACTAAACTAAACTCATACAAAAGTATTTGAACTCGGTACACCTCAGGGAGGCGTACTTAGTCCCATTTAATTTAATATCCTAATTCATAGATAACTAGGCGATATACCACTTGAGGGAAATGACTCCTTTATCTGCTATGTCGATGATATTTGCATTAAATCCTCATCTGAGGTGAGAATGCAAGAGATTCTACATATACTTACTGAGTGTGGCTTGATAACCTCCACTGAAAGAAACAAGGCACTTAACTCAAGACAATCCCTCTGCCAAGGTTTCATATTAATGACTGAGCTAGATCTTTGCCACCAGTACAAATACCTCGGGGTGCTTGTCAATCTGAAGAAATAGCTGGGGGAGCGGCTGAGGGCACTTGTTGGCAAAGACCATAGTATCAATGTCAATACTACGAGACTTTTTTATTTGTCATACATATGGTCAGTCACAGGTTATCGTACATTGCACCTAGTATTGTTCCAACGCATGTTGGACTCCCTAGACATAATCATGCTGATCAACTAACAAAGTCAGCATGTGACAAGTAAAATGTGGATATAGATCTTGGGATACCTCTTTCTAGGATTTTATACATAATTTAAGCTTCCTTTGAAGAGGATTTGATCAAGTTGATTAATTCTCATCGCCATGAAAGCTGTAGTATAAGGAACTATGACCGGTTTACACAAGATTCATTCATTCATCTATGGTTTATATAAAACAAAAATAAGAATATGAAGAAAATAAGCGATTGTATCTCTGTATCTCTGAGTGCCATGTGTTGCAGCCTTTCAGACCACCTAGCATGAAGTACGGAGAACTATGTAACCATTTCATATCATCTGATATCTTAGAAGATATACTTATGTTGTATCCTAAATTTGCAATGTAGTATCACATGACCGCATATCAAATGTGGCAATGCTCCACCCCCAAGCTGTACGCCAGCGTGGCAGATGAGTAGATAAAGGACTGTGGTAGAAAAACCCACTATGTAAAACTAGAGTTATTGCAGTGTAGGAATCAGAAATAAATATCTCACAGTAAGGTTAGTGACCATGAGATCAGAACTAAACACTAAATTCTTTCAAAGCAAGTGGCGATGGGGAATCTGCGAGTTGCATTAAGCGTAACGTAACTTACGCTTAAGCCTGCAGCAAAGATACCATGAACATAGATTTGGGGATGCCTCTTGCTAGGGTTGCACGTATATTGAAAAGTTCTCATAAGGAAGATCTCCTATCGGTGACACCGAAGTCAAACCAGACAACGTGACGTGGTTATTGCCAGAATACAATTAGCTTACATAATATACTGGCAACTGCACGGTGCAAGAAATACAGATAAATCTAGATGCAGACTGTGTAACGAAGAAAACAAGCGAACACTTGAACACTATATCTCTGAATGCCATGTGATACAGCCTTTCAGACCAGATAACATGAGGTATAATGAACTATATGAATATTTCACTTCATCAGATACATTGGAAAATATACTCGTACTATACCCTAAATTGGCTATGTAAAACTGCCATAAACAAAGAACAGGGTTATGTGAACACAGTGGCAAAGGCATACTAACGTCTATTCTTTCGTATGATCTTTGATTTATATTTCATTATACCGTGTACAATTACAGTGATCACAGAATACTGCACTATGTCGAATATATGTAAAACTGTAATCGCGACTGTCCACGCCTAAGCAAACAGCCAGGGTGGTAAATAAACTTACTTATCTACAAGAATATTCTTTCACCTGACCGCCTAGCTAGAATGCTCCACACCATGGACCCTCCAAGTCTTTACACAATAAGATGTCAGGTAGATCCACCTCCTTTATGCCCAGGATCGTGGACCCTAAGCGGATAGCAGATACAGTTTCACTGTAACAATCGGAAACATTGTTTTCTTGGTATAAATTCCATAATTCCTTTACTTTTTAGATTGTATAATTTGCTCCCTGAAAACCACATACCTAAGTACAAACCGATATTTATTTAAAATCCGTCAGTTGCCTCATTTGCTTGGTATCTAATTGCACTTTTTTACTCTTGGGACACATGCATTACATTGTGATACATGTTTCTCTGCAAGGGCACTAAATTGTAAAAAAAGGCCCGTAATCGACATTAAAAAAACAAACTACCCGCAACGTGAAGCTCAGCATAAATCCCAGGTGGGTCAACATCAGGTCCACAGCCGAAAATACGAGATTTGTTATTTCTTAAGAGAAATGTGAGGAACCTTGGAATTTGAAATGCGCGGCTAATGGCTGTGCAGTGTACCTCTATTTTGCAATATGACTACAATGCGAGTCTTGCAGAGTATGACTTTCGAACAGGGTGGCCATTTTATCCGATTTGGTAGCAAGGCGTCTTATTGCAGCACAGCCCATTCGTGACGACCATGAGGCCCTTATCTTTGTATTTATAACTTCTTTCTATATATTCTTATTCTCAAGTTGAAAATTAGTCAGTCACTTTATTTCTTGGTCATTTTATGTTTAAGTTAATTTTCCTTTATATTTGTGTTTTCTATAGTGTACATACTTCATCCTTAAAAAGAAATTATAATAAACAAATTAAAAGTAAAAGAGCAAAATCAAGGGTAAAACGAAACCAAAATATTCAAGGAAAACCTGAGACCCCTCAGTCTATTTATTCTCAAAAGTTACAATACATGTAACACATCCTAACTGGCCTCTTGTAAACAATGAAAATAAACTTCTCCCTCTCTCTCGTAGATTCAAAGAAAACACGAAGGAAGCGTCCAGTGAGGGCGGTAGCTCCGTGAACCACAATGATCAGACGAGCGAACAACCCAAGAAAGTTTGGCGGCTTTTATCTATTTGTCTTGTCGTACAAAGATTTAATAAAATAAATGAAAATAAAAATGAAACTTAATCAACTTTTAAAAGAAACTGAATTATAAAATCGAGGCCGTAAAAGAAAGTTCAAAATGTAACAGATAAAAGAGTACAGTAAACTAAAAATGCTCCAAGGATGAAATCCCCACAGGTGGCCCACAGATGGTGCTGAACCAGTGCTGCTGCTGTCAAAAGGGAGGGGGGACTGTCCTAGTCTGGGGGTATATCACGCCCATTACATCTGTGATCGCGACAGTTGCTACCCAAAACTCATAGAAATTGTGGTTTGTGGTTGAAACGAAGGTTAAAAACATGCAAAACACAACGCGATCAACTAGAAAATTGTATCGTAGGAAATATCCGCCCGAACTTCTCTCGGAAAATGACCGAATGTCTTAGTATCAACCTTTCTTGACTCAAGTTCAAAAAAGTAACTGTTGATTGTTGCGATCACAAGACGAAGATGCTCTTCAGTACGATCACCAAATAATCCTTCGATACTAGTTAGGTGTAATCAGTTCCTCATGCCAGCTATTATTCATTATTTATCAATTTAGAACTATTACTTTTAGAAAGTGCCTCGTTACTTCCTAGAAAGTTTGAGAACCACTGATATAGTACTTGATACCCTAGAGTAAACATCTCTTGAGCGACTTAAAAAAAATCGGTCACGTCAAAAAGTCTAAACGCCTAATAAAAACAATATGTTTTTTTTCTTCACTTTCCATGCAGAATGGAATATATAATTTTCTTAAAAATATAGTGCGTGTTTTATGAAAATAAACTATAATTTACGTTATCGACTAAAAGAGCCTAAACATTAACAAAGGGTGTTCATGTAGGCCTATTGTTGCCTTAACCCTCAGGGTGGTAGCAAACCCAGCACAATGAACTCCTACATCAATGAAGCAAGTACATTTATCAATACATTTTCCTTGTGTCCAATTACGAATACTATTTTAGCATGTTAGCTACCTGTTATATATATCTAAGAAAATAACATTATCCCAAGTAAATATTTTCCATTACATTTGGATGAGTTATAATTGGAATTATCGACAAACCATTAGATCAAGTGTTCCAGAGATCTACAAGTGATATCAAAACTCGAATATCTTTTTATTTATTTATTTTTACCAGCAAAATAAGGGCTTTTTCTTCTCCGTCTGTATTAACATTTTTTTCTCATTTCACTTATTTGTTTATAATTTTTAAAGACCGATTCGTATTTTGAGGAAATTTAACTTTACCCAGTTGCCTCATTTTCCTAGGTTCAAAACCCGTTTTCTTCAAATGGCACTGGAAGTGGGGGTTAATTTTGTAGATATACGCGACGGACTCACATTCCGGTTTCAGAGTAAAGAAGGATCAGAATATAGATTTTCTGACCGATATATATCATACTAAAGATAA